CGCCCCTGAGCTGGGCACAAACCTGGGCGCTGCTGGAGGGATGCCCTTACCCAGCCTCACGCAACACCAGGCAGCAACAGGGTAGGACTAGAAACAACCTCCTGTTCTTAAGTCTCCATTTAAAATGGGACATGTGGGTCTCGAGGGGATCCAAGAGGATCTCCAAGGAGAAGTCAGAAGATGCCCAAGCCTGCGGGCAGCCCCGGAGAACAAGGACGCGCCGTATTTACCCAGGGAGATGAGCGACTCGTAGTTCCCCTTCATCACGTTCTTGTACAGCTCCTTCTGCCACTCCTCCAGCTTCTCCCATTCCTTGTCGTTGAAATAGACGGACACGTCGTCAAACGTCACCGGCACCTGCAATCGGGAGCAGCACAGGCTCCCGCGGGTGGCCCCCCCCCCCCAAAAGCGCCGGCCAGCGGCACGAGCAGCTCGCTCCCGCTTGGACACAGCCAGGCTTCAGCTACTCCATGGTCACAGAGAAGTTGGTTTTCCCATTTCAAACGACTCCTGGGAATGTATTTCTACAAGATTAAAGGTCTCAGCCCAACAGCTGGTTCCCGGTGATGAACCCAGCCTGGGATTTCCCCAGACGACACCGACCTCCTCCTCTCGGTCCCCACACCGGCAGGGACGACGCTGCAGAGGCGACTGGGCTTGCGCCCGCCGGGAGGGAGCGGGAAGGAGATAAAAATCGGGCAGTAGGGCTGGAGCTCATCTCTATTGATGAGCTGACGCAAAACCCCAGATTCAATTACCCCAGAACTCGAGGGAAAACTCTACCCGGGCCTGAAGGGCTCCCAGTTACCCTTCGTTATTGCACGCACATCGGCCGGGAGCAGCCTGCAGCTTTTGCCAAGTAATAATTTCGAGGGATAACTTCAGGATGCGCGCGCCGGGCTGTGTTCTGCGCTAACGGGGTGTCAGGGTGTGAACCCCCCTCTTCCAGACCCCCCCTCCGCTCTCTCGGGCGACATTCCCTCTGCCATGTCTTGCACGGTCCCATCCGCAAAGTTTCTTTTAGCGAGAGGGTCGTGAAACGGGAGCAGGAACATCGAGGG